TCGTGTTTCTCCACTGGAATTTATGACAGTTCCCCATCCACATCCCATCTCTCTGTCTCGCATTCACGCACGCAAAAAACAATTATGACTCTTACTCCTACTGCTGGCACTCTCTGGGCCCCATTCCGTGGCACATTTAATTGCCTTTGGCCAAAGGATTCGAATGGAGACATTAGAAAAATCTGTCGCCGTCAGGACACAGGACACACGTCGTTCTGCCCAGGCTGAAGGTCGTTAAAATGTTTGAATTACATGGGGAACGTAAGGCGGAAATGGATCCATGGATCGTGCTCTCATACAATGTGTGCTCTAGAAGTTTATTGGATTTGACAGCAGAGACAGCTGGTAGTAAGCCATTGATTGGCCAGGAATGAAATGGATACTTGGCCTGAAGAGGCGACTGCAAAGAACAAGCCAAAAATCACGATTATTTTAAGGAAACACTCCCAATACTCCCTATAGCCAAGTCCCAACCTATCACAGTCCTGGGAGCCCCTGTTACGCTGTTCAAATCATTGCTAAATGACAGAATAAATAACAAAGTAAATAAATTTGACCAAGAGACAGCGACTCGAAGGACATAAGCCACTGCAGTCTCCAGTCTTGCAACGCTTTGGTCTGCCCCGTCCTGTTGCAGGACACAAATTTATGCGACATCCAAGTGTAGCGCAAGCTGCGTTTCACTGTCGTGACACAAGGATATACCCAAGACGGCGAGCTGTCCTATGCATTATCCTTGTCAAGTGTGTGGCCAGGAGACAGACAGTCTAAAGGAGCGCATCAGAGGCACTCCTTTGAAGATTTCTTTAGAATGAAAACATGCTCCAGGCTCCATCCAGCTTGTATATCGATCAGGTACATCCAGATCAGAGCTAAAATACAGAATTTTATTGAAATTAATCCCTGAACTAATGGAAATGGATAAAACTTACCATTAGAAGGCTGTTCGGGTAGGTAGTCCTTGCTTTCAGCCTTCTTGGCGCTGAATGTTTAATTCTGCCAGCTGAAAAATGCATAAATACCATTTTAATTAGAAAATTAGCTGAAAATATGCAGCTCACGTTAATCGCATGACATCGTTGTTGTTGTTGCAAAATGGAGCTACCATTGCCAGGGCGAAATGGAAAAGAGGTTGAACCTGCTGGCTGCTGGCTGTTGGGTGCGGGGTTCGAGGTGCGGGGTTCGGGATGCTGCTGGGAGCTCATGCAATATCCAGGAGATGCGACAACAACCGACTGCATGGCTCTGTTCTGGTGTGTCCTCGCAAACCCATTGCCTCGTCCTGACACTGGAAATCATTGCCACTCGCTGGAGTGGCTTTGGGTTCCTGCCTCTGTGCTGCTCTCTGGCTGTTTGTTGCGACAAATGCCGTTATAATTATTTATACCGTAAGCACATTTTATGGTGTCGCAATTTTAAAATGCAATTAGAAGCGCTCACTCTCCCGCTCTAGTATAGAGCTCCCCCTCCAGGGGGGGGCAGAGTGCCAAAACAAAGCGAAAAAAGGGAATCGGAAATGTAATAAAAGGTTAGACGGGAAATTGTAATTCTTAATGGAGTTTTGTCATTTTAGTCCAAAACAAAAACAAAAAAAAAAGGAAACCCAAATAAGGATGTTATGCAGGCATCACCTGGAGCTCTTCCACTCATCCCAGGTGTATCTACCACTCATTGGCTTGTATCTTTATCTGTGTATTCCCCACTCTAGCACCTGTATTGGTGTACCTCTGCTCCTGGCTTATTGGGTTTCGTTATTGAACAGCCGCCACACACCTTGGCCATATAAAAACTCATCTCTCCGCCAGCGGAATCGTTCGAATCGAATCGAACGAGCGGCAAAACCAGCAGCTGTCGCGATTCTGGAATATTACAAAATATGTGTACAGTATGTTGCAATTTTTATATTTAGTGAAACTTACATACATTTTCGGCAGTGTTCCTTCCTGCTCGTAATGTTGTGGACATCTGGAGGATGATTGAACCAAATTTTCCTATAAATTTGCATACAATTTGGTTGGAAATTGGGTAGCGGCCTGTGTTTCATTCCAAAATATAAGGTATTTCTGTGAAATATCAAAAAAGCAAAACATTTGCATTAGAAATGAATTTTTAAACCCAATTCCGTATCAAAATCTATCGCTTATTGAGTTCCAAAGCCAAACCCTAGCATTTCTCCTCTAAGTAAATGAAATTTCTTTTGTCCAAAAGATTCCAGGCTCCATCCCAACTACGACAAACATTTATCGGCTGCGGTCGTAAACCATTTGCAGCAATTATCTTTGCTAAGTTCGTTCGATGCCTTCGGGGAAATATGCGGCAAATTAATATGGGATGGGGTCCCCCCGCCGGACGAAAGGAGTCCGGTAAGAAAACCCTTTCTCGCCTGCCGAATGCTGCCAATGGGTTTTTAAGCGCAAGTTTTGCTTAATTTATAACGAGGATTACAATAAACAAACTAATCTACGGCAATAAACACTAAAAATCCCCCGAAAAACTGCTGTCGCAGTAGCCGAAGCCCACGACAGGAACAGGACCAGCAACAGGACCAGGGACAGGGACAGGGACAGAGACACTATCACGGGGCAGGACTCTTGGGCATTGGATTTGCTGCGTCTTGTTTTTTTTTTTGTTCTTTTATAAGTTAAATCGCAGGGAATCCTTTGGCCTTTTAAATATGCCATTTCCGTTGTGAGATTATTTTTCGATATCGTATGATTCGAGATGTTTACGAGTGTCCAGTGTCCAGAGGGGATCCCGGTCCCGGATGCGGCTGCAATGACCACCACCAGATAGGCATCGTCAACCCCATCGCCCCCACCATCGCATCGCTGGACGGGCAGAGGGTTAATGTGCGTGCTTCACCCGCTCGGGCCCTTTTTCTATTAACAATAAATTTGTACGATTTTTATTTTCGACCGCAATGAGGTTCTGCTTAAGGCTGAGGTGTGGAAGGGACATTTTTCAAGGAGAGATACAAGACACAAGGGAAACCCGCTCAGATTTCATCAATCTGAAGCCCATAGTTGTGGTTTTTCATTGCAGAAAGGGTGTTCCCTCTTTAAATGTATTTATTTTATTTTAATAATTAAAATATGTACAGAAAGTACATTGCAAACCCTTTTCTAACTTTCTTTGGTGAAATTTTCCTTCAAGAAACTATAATATTTTCCATGTTTTATAGATATCTTTCCCTTCTAATATGTAATTATCCAAATGCAATGCCTAAAGAAAAGTTTGGAGGCAAAGCTATCTCTTCGTTCCATCATAGATAGGAGAGTACTTGTGTGTACTAAACCCATGACCAATGGACCGATGGACCATGGGACAGGGATTGGGATTGGGATTGGGGCACAGATGAGGGACAAAACAAATCGACAAAACGGGATGCGATGCGCGTGATGCCCAAAAGGATGCCATTAAGGACAACGGTTACAATCGTTAGTGAAGCCATTAGTTTGTAGCGCCAATATGCGAAAATCACACACCCAGAAGGACACATGGGGCAGGCGGCGTGCGGTGTGGCGGGGGGGGGGCAGAGCGGGCGGACAATGTTGCAGAGTAAGTGTATAATTGCAAGTGGCACACACAGCTTTTTCGGGGCAAAAAGCGAGATATAACATGTAATAACTTTGGCAGGAGAGAGACCCACAACCGGACACGGGACATGGGACGGCACAGAAATGTCCATCTTCCACTAATGTGTCCCGGGCTTGGATTGGATACGAATCTGGACAGCAGGATGAACGGAGAAAGAGAGTCCGGAGTGAGAGTCACGAAGTTGGCAACGACAATGGCCCCAGCAACGAAACAATAACAATAAAACAAAGGCCGAGGCCACTGGGCAACGGGGCAACGGGGAAACGGGGCTGGCAACCAATGTACGAGTAACTGAAAATAATTTCAGGGATATTATCGCCACCGTCGGCAGATGTCCCAAGTGCGATATGAGGAGAGTCCAGTCGGCCCGAGAGCCGCAACTGGATCTCGATGTGGAGTTGGAGCACAGCTAAAGGACACGGGCGCATCAACATAATGTCTACTTTACAATGTGGATAAAGTTGCAAAGAAAACGAAATCACATCCATATCGTCAGAGAGAGAGAGAGAGAGAGAGAGATGGTGGGAGGGCAATCCACTCAGCCCACACCTGGAACAAAACTCCGGGAGTGGAGTGCGACAGGACATCCAATTGTCTGATGGTCGAATCGAAGCACAACCCCCTTTGGAGCACTCACTGGCCACTCGCACGCCACGTTGCAATAAGTTACCTCTGCCTTGACCATTACGACGATGCCACGGATGGTGCTGCTCCCTGCTGCCTGCCTGGGTCCTGGACACTCTCCACTGGCATGGCACAGCCGGAGACAAATCCGAAATCCATACTCGTAAACAAATGCAACTAATCGCCGTTCATGTTGAACGTGTTCACGGCTAGGCAAACGTGAAATTGTGGTCAGCCACAGTTCCAGCTTCCACAGCCCACATCCCAAATCCTCATCCACTCGTGGATATTCCTTCCACCTGCAGCATCCATTTTGTACGGGGCTTATGGCTTTGATTTTGATGGCAGTTTTTAGAGTGAAACAAGCCAACATCTAGCCCAGCTTAGGCCACAGATGAATTATGGCTTAAATAAACCAAGACATGTATACAAGGCGAGAACGTTGAAAAGCCTTGGCTTGGGTTTTTCTTTATAAATTATAAATTACTACGTTATTCGCTGTTCCAATTTCCCACAAGCAAATAGACTCTTTCTCCGTGCGAATGACAGGATAGACTTCTTCACACTTTTCTTTGCCAAGAAGGCCTTGAAATTAGTTTCTTATATTCGATTTACGGTTTTGTGCCACGAAGTTAAATATATTCCATTAGTAATCCTGATTTTCAAGGGATAACAGCTTGGTTTCTATAATTCCCAGGTATTATTTTTTGTAAATTTGATTTTCTCGTAATCTAAATTTCAAATACCACAAGTTAAAATGTCGACAGAAGACTTGGACGGCTGGGACGATTTTGAAGCATGGTTGGCCATGCAGGATACCAAAGATGATGCTTCGAATGAAGATGCCGCGGATCGTGAATGCCTTCAGGGTATTAGCCAGCAGAAGGAGGAAGAAGAGCTTGAACAGCGCAAGGAAATCCTGCCAAAGGCCGCAGATGGCTCTGACGAAAGTGATATAGATGGGGCGGAGTTTAACGATCCCTCTCAGATGACACTAGAGCAGTTGGAGAAGGCACAAAGAATATACTTACGCCGCTTGAAGCGCGAGGAATCGAAGGAGGGAACGTGCTTGAAGCAGGAAGAGTGTTTGGAGCAGGCAGAGTGTCTGGAGCAGGAAGAGTGTCTGGAGCAGGAAGAGTGTCTGGAGCAGGAAGAGTGTCTGGAGCAGGAAGAGTGTCTGGAGCAGGAAGAGTGTCTGGAGCAGGAAGAGTGTCTGGGGCAGGAAGAGTGTCTGGAGCAGGAAGAGTGTTTGGGGCAAGAGCGCTTCCAGATGCGTCGCAAAAATCTGAGGCGCCAGCGAGCAATTAATGATCGTACCACTGCCCTCCAGCGCTTGCACAACGAGCGTCTTCAAAGATTAGAAAAGAAATCGAATGCCCAGCGCCAGAAGGACAGAATCTTCAAATGGATGGAAGATGACCGCCGGGATCGGGCTAAGCTCAGCAATAAGGACAGAAGGCTTCCGCAAGTGTCGAAAGTGAGGCTAAGGGCATCAGATATCTACTCTGACAACTCCAGCGATTCGTCCTCGCCAAATGAGGCAGACGACAACGAAAAACGCCAGCCCATGAATGCCAGTCCAACATTGCTCAGCAGCTTGGATCAGCTTAACAGCGTGATGCTTAAACGGAGCCAACTAATAAGTTTTGTCGACAAGCCCATATTCGGGCAGACGGTGATCGATTGCTTTATACTAATGCCCAATACCAATCTACGGTCGACCATCTACCAGATCACTGGCCTGGTTCACACGGATGTGACGTACCAACTGGGACACAAGACAACGGATTATCAATTGAACGTACGTCACGGTAGACTGGAGAGATTGACCCGCTTGGACGCCGTTTCCAATAGTCCAGTACCAGCTGTGGCATTCCGAAATTGGATTGATAGCTGTGAGAAGGATAACTGGGTCCTGCCGGAGCTCTCGCTGATCACGAAGAAGGAGCAAGACATCAAAAAGGCCACCAATTACATTTTTACCGAAGACGATGTGGCCGATATAGTTAAAAAGAAACGCGAGTCGGGCCTGAGTCAGGAGAAGGTCGCTGTGCGGAAAATACGTCTGATCGAGGAGCGCGACTTGGCTCTTACCAACAACGACCACGAGAAGGTCGTTCGCTTGGACAAGGAGATTAAGGAGATCGACCAGGATCAGGATCAGGACATGGCGAATTTTGGACAGAAGGTGCCACGATTCGGGGGTTCATTACGTAGTGGCCTTACCCCATATGTTCCAAAGAATCCAGTACAAAAATCGGAACAGCGCCGTGAAGCCGCTCTTCTTCCAGCCTTGTCGCGTTGTCACAAGCATACTGGGCCATCAGATATACCGCGTCCTCAAGTCCCTCCTGTGACTAAGACTCCACATATACCGCGATTGCCTCAAACAGCTCCTCTGCGCAAAGGCATCTCAGCTGCTCCTCGCCGTCCACGGCCTTTGCCTGCCAAAAGATGCTTTCCTGAGAGTGCTCCCAAGCCACTAGATACCAGTCTGGAGCGCTACATAAAGCGCAAATACAAGAAAAGTGCCCTGGGGAAACGCAGTCCAGAGCCCGTTGCCGAAGTCCCTGAAGTTGTGGCGCCGCAGGAAGCGAAGAAAGATGCCAGCCTTTACGATTTGCACGATTTTCATGTGGACGTAGATACCTCGGTGTTAGGTAGGTAGTATAAGAGAAGCAGGACATCTATATGCTTGTATATGCCTTGCTTTATTTGTAGCTCCTTTCGATTCGCTGTTTGGAAAAGAGGAAAGTCCGGATCCAGCTTTGGAGCAGCCTACAATTTGAGACCAGATGTATAATAATATATGCTTAATCTTTAATAATATTACCAGCTTTTCAATACAGAACAGAAAATAAGGTTCCTTCACAGTTCTCCCGCAGTAGATGCTAATTGAACAACAATTAAGCCAACAAATAGACACAACTCGTCCTCTCTCTCTCTGTCTCTCTCCTTCCAATAGACACGCCGCAGCCTGTCAACACTGCTGCGTGGTTGCGGTGGGACGCTGCTCCGAATCAACCATTCCATTCCTGTGACGCCAAAAGCCTGTCCTAATCCAATCGAGTGCGGTTGTTAGGCAATTGGGGGACTGGCTTCATGGGCAGTCTACAATGGGCGTTGTTTTTATACACTTAATTCACAGATTCCCTTGCAAAACGATATAGATTTCGCCATTTCTTTGGAAGCGCGATTTCGATAATGGAAATGAATATCGATAGCCCTATCGAACCTTGGAAGCTTGGAATGTTTGCCGATGTCGCTATTGGAAAGGAGTATCGACAGGTAGGACGATCGATAGTTGTTTTTCCATGCGCTTGAGCACGCGGCTTTTTTTTTATTTGTTTGTGATTTCGCGCTTAATAAAATAATAATAATAAGAATTACCCATGAGTGATTAGTGTTTAAATATTTTTTTTATTGTTTTCAAAGCTTATGTTTCTTGGTCGCTTAAATCTCGTGTGTGTGTGTGTGTAAGTGAAATGCGCAGCAGCCCAGCAAAGGTTTTTTTCTTGTTTATTTTGATCAAAGCAATAAAAAGCGGTTAAATATAAATATTTAGTGGTTTTGTTGAAATAAAGTGTGCTTTATTTAATGTAAAATGATCAACACACGTGAAATTGTGATGGCGCAAGGGGCCTGTATGTAATAACTGTGTATATATGTACATATGTATATACATATGTACGTTCTGTACGCATTAAGTGTTTATTTGCGTATAAAATCAATCTTCCAACCACTTGAAGGTTGATTTTCATCATCTTTTGGCACAGATGGTTAATATTACATTTGTCACAATATTTGGAGAGCAAACCATAGGTAAATATCACCAGAAGAACTAAGAGCAGAGCAGAATCATTAATAATACAAATAGAAACTCATTCATAGTCTGTGCATCAACGACGACGACGACTGCCCCGGCATCAGGGGGCATCAAAGTGGAATTGGATTCATCTGAAAGAGGCGGGTCATAATTGAAGATATGATGCTCCATGCCCCATGCTCCAGCCATGAGCAAAGGTGACACCAAAGGGAAGACCTTCGACTGGCAATAAAATAAATGCCATTTACTGATGAGTCATCAGCATAATTTTTACGATTTGTCCCATTCGATGAATAAACAAATAAACCAATGGACACGGGAGCTGGGACCCGGGACTCAGGACCCTCTGGATTGGACTCTAGTTTGAGCGTGTCACGAAAACATTTCGCATGCATTGACTTTTTATGGCAGCCCCAAACCGAGTGAACCGAACGCACGAATCGAAAAGCCACATGGACCGACGAGAGAGAGAGACGGAGAGGGGCACTGGGTATCCACAAATAATGCAAAATCATTTAGTGGAACTCCTAGGCACACACACCGTACAGATGCTGGCACCCCTCCCGCCTCAAAGTCATAAAATCCGGCACCGAATGAAATTCTCATCAAGACGCAAGTTGGCACAATTTCAGTTTGGCGCTGAAGCAACTTGAAAACACGACCAAAATGAGCCCGAATCGCAGTAGGAGTCGTTGCCACAGCCCACAGGACTCTCGGCAGTGGTCAGGCATGGGGCCAGCATCGTGCTGCTGCCGCTGCCACTCCTGCTCCTGGCAATCGCGCGTGACTAACGTAATCAGCTCACGTAACGCCTGAATGAGATGAGATGAAATCAGCATACACTCCGGGCCACGCAGGACTATGCTCTCCTACGCTGCCGTCGCTCCGCACCGATTCCGACTGCATAAATGTCGAATTTATACGAAAATGAAGCCGCGCAGGCCATTCGACCAGCTGCTGGGGCATCATTCACACGGCCACCAGATGCTTTGAGGGGTAAGTACCACCCCCCTAACGAAATGTTTTGTAGATCTTTGACACGCGATACTGCCCTGGCCTGGCCGTCTTTGGTGGGTGTTCAGATGGTAATGTAATGCTTTCATTGGTTAATTTACAAACAAATGGCTTCTAAATCTATTTTCCATAAACATAACATTCCAGCAAAACGATCGCTGGAGCTGGGGATCTTGGGAGCTTAAAGGAGGGACAATGGAGAGATCTATAAATGGCATTCTTGGACATTAACGAAAGAGGAGATTTGTAAATGGGAACCTTTTGGAAGCCTATAAGTTATATCTAATCGTATCTACTGGCAGGACTCAAGTACTTATATGATTACTGCCTTCGAACAAGCGAGCAGAGCGGATTCCATTTAAATGCAAAGACCTATCATTAGTAAGTGAACCCGGGACATAAAAACGTAGAGAACGGCTAACCCAATGAGACCGGAGACCAGAGACCGATACCGAGAACCCTGCAAAACATCACGCATAAGTTTCATTTTATTTTGATTTTTATGACTGCACCATGGACTGTGACACTGTCTCCGATTCGGGCAGTGTCCCACCTGGATCACTTGCTAAATAACCCACAAAAACCAAAAAAACAAAAAAAAGAATCCCCAAAAACAAGAGGGAGGTACATGGGTGGCTCTCTGGGGGGTGTGGTGTGCGGTCCGGGGTAGATGATGTGTCCATGAGAACTAAAGCAGGGAAAATGCCTATTTACGAGCTTGCATGCGGCCGGACAGGACAGCAGGCAGGCAGGCAGACAGCAGGACACATGGTAATCATATATTTTGGTCATATCTGTGGACCATAAAACCAGTGTCCTTATGTGCCTGTCAATGAGTTGTTTCATGACATTTATTTCGCTTGTTCCCCCCGCACACACACACAACCATCCCCTACGTCCTTTCGGATACGGGACATGGACTATCCTGCGTGCAGATGGAAAATATTTTAGTGTCCATTTAATGTCCAATCTAAGATGAGCTCGTAACTTTTGATCGAATAAACGAGCAGCCCACACACACACACACACACACACATCCCACGGCCCATAGGTAAAGGTCAAAAGGAAAGGTAGGAAGGGTTCTGTTTTTGGTTCTGCTTCTGGACACGCACACCTCTAGCGGATGTGGGGGTCTCTTGGGATAATTCTTTAATTTTCTCACCGCTGTCAGCCGCATCCCAGTGCCATCGGACCGATAAGAGGAAGTTATTTCCTCAGATATTTGCTTATTTTATTTTATTAGTGGGATTTGGCTCGTTCGTGCTCTCGAAAGCCCTGTCTACAGCCCGTACCCGGGAGTCATAAATATTTAATTAAAATCAAAATTAGTTTTTCCAACTTGGCCGGCCCCCCTCCCCCGCCCCCCGTGACCTGGCGTCTTGCGGATTCCATCAAGCGATTCGCGTGGCCTAGAAATAATGTCATGCCTCCGACTTTCGACTGAATGTAAAAAGAGCTTTTCGCCGAGCACCTGGCGCCTTGTTTAAAAATTAAAATCGCACGCTCTCTACGCCTGGCCGCGCTTTCATATGGGACTCAAGCACCCCCTCCCCCACCAACCGCAGGACTCTTATATCTACAATTCCCCAACGCCCGCGCGCGAGAGAGAGAGAGATCAACAATTGTGGTGGCTTCAGCGGCGATTTAAGCGCTGGGCACACGCAATCCCCCTGCCCCGTCTATGGAGAGCCTGCCCTATAAAGTAGATTTGCATGCGACGCCCCAGAGACCCCTCTTGGCTGTAGGGGGGGTGCTGGCATCCCCAATTGAATGGGGGACTGGCGCGAATCCGTTGATGTGATGACAGGAGTGGCTGCAAATGGGGAAAAACGCACAGAACACAAGGTAAAATTGAATACTTTTAACAGAAAGACTGGCATTAATATTGCATTGTATTTTCTCTAGAAATCTCTGGCATGTCGTCCTAGCAGGCTGTTTACTGAAGCCTCCGCTGAAGTACTGCTGAGTAGCGATGGCTCTCCCGCAGGAAGGCCTTCAAATCTAAGACCTGGACATCATGATTGTTGCTTAGCCTGCGGCTCAGGGTAATATTGAAATGCATGGCATTTTGATCCCTGACCACGACCACCAGGCTCCACAATCTCCTAATGAAGTTGTGGAGATTCTTCTGCCCATCCACCGATAGCTGGTGTGCCCGAAGGGATCGTGGCTTCCAGCAGAAGAAAGGCAGTGATGCTCTACTCCAAGCTCTGCTCTGGAAAAAGAAGTCCAAGCCAAGACGATTCTTGCAGCGCCAGACCGTCTGATGAGTCCAGGTGCATCAGAATGTTGATCGCCAGGTGGCTGAATATAGGACGGCTTCACGGACATTGGTTCCTCCAGCATTTTCCGAGAATACTGCAGGGAAAGCCACATCCTCTCCAAGTATTCCCAGACCTAAGGCAAGTGATAAAATTCAACCTCGATGGCAAGACCATGCTGATCCACCTCTGGCTTTCCCAATTCATAGATGGCCCAAAGACCGGCGCTGAAGAAGCTCTTAAAGAACACACTCTATCTGTAGATGCTCCTGCTGCTGATCCTCCTAGTGGCCTTTGGATCTTCGGATTTGGGTAGCCACCAAAACATTCTTTGTCCTTGTTAGATTTCAAATCTTTGCTGGCATGCCGCAACGTTTCGTCCCACTGTCGCTTTCATGCAAATACTTGGGCTTAATTTTCACAAATTGCATTGCTGTTGGGGGTTCGGGGTGTGCCCCTGGAACTGGTCCCATCATCATTTAAATGCCGCATTATCAGTGGTCAGCAGCGAACGGGCCAGTCACCTCGTCGAATTGTCATAAACAATCAAAATCCATTTAAAATTGTACATGCAATTTGGTCGAATCGAGTCGGGAATCCACCTGCCAGCCAGACGCAAGCGATGGAGGAGGACGAGCACCAGCAGCAGCAGTAGCAGTAGAAGGAGTTGCAGGACGAGCTGCCAGATGCCGACACCATCAACGCCTCGTCAAGTGTGTGGGCGGAGTACTGGAGTATGCTGGAGTCTGTTCATTGGCTTGACTCCCATCCACAGGCCAGACAGAGAGAGAGAGAGAGAGAGCGCAGCGCCACTTGTCAGCCATGTGCCATGTCCTGGGCATGTCCTGCGTGCCAGTGTGTGTGCATGTGCCTGTGCCAGTGCCTGTGCCTGGGCCTGTATATCGTTGATATGATAATTGGCATGAGGTAATAATCCACTTGGATACGTTGACAATCGTTTATATCGCAATCAGTGTCATGCCGTCTGCCTTCTGTTTGGCTCTGCCTCTGCCTCTGAATGTGGCTCTCGTCCTGCTGCTGCACCAGCAATCCAGTGTCCTGCCTGCATAAAGTATAATTTCCCAGCCATGTTCTCTCTTCGTTGCTGTGGCTGCTACTCCATGCCACTCGTGCTCTGCTCCATCGACGAACAGTCCGGCGACATATTAAATAACAATGAACTGCAATTGCCCAACGAGTCTCGTAATTCGTTTGTAATGCGTGCAGACGCACAGATTTTGAGTAGTCACAGTCGCTCGCTCTGTGTGGCACCCATCCACATGTCCTGCTGCATGTCCTTACACACAGCTCTCCAACTGCTCAACCGCTCTATGGCTGGAGTCGGTCTCTCGTGTCTGTCCGTCTGTCTGGCCTGTTTCTTTGTCACTTGTTTTGTTTTATGTCCTCTCTCTCTCGCCGGGCAATTGTCCTTCGCATTGCTGCATATAATTCCTGATTTCCGAGTTTAACTCCGTTGCCGGCTGTTAAATTTAATCACTTTTTGGAATCGTTTCGGTCTGCATCGACCATATATGGGGGGTATTGAGACTGGGGTTTGGGGAAATGGAAAGCGGAAAGCGGAAAGTAGAGACAAAGTCAATTTTGTGGAAATGACAAACCCACGCGGTAAAATCTAATTGAAAGGATTTCGATTTCGTAGCATTTATGCTTTTACCTGCTTCGTTCGGTGCTTTGTTTGGGAATATTATTTTGAAAAACAGCGGGAATTTTCATTTCTTTTTTTTGTATTATTTTGTCGGGGATCTGGAATACTTTGGAACTTGGAATAATAAATATAATGGAGAAACCTAAAAATACTTATAATATAATGATTCGGATTTAATTACTCTATGCTTTAGAGTGGTATTTAAGGGCATTTTTAACTATTGTTTCACCCTAATTCGCTCTTATTTACAAAATTCATGTTTCATTAGGTTTATTGTTGAATTTATATTTTTTTAAGCAGTTCTTAGAACGGAAATGGTTCTATCATGGATTTGGTTTACTTTTGAATTGGGAATATAATAAATATAATTTAAATTTATTGATAACACCCGAAAATATCTCAAAATACTTAAAATAAAATGATTCGAATTTAATTACGCGATTATTTCGAGTTTTAAATTTAAAATTTTAATCGATTTAAACGAATTATTGACTTCTGTTTCACCCCAATTCGCTCTTATTTGAAAAAAGAGCGTTTCATTAGGTTTATTGTTGAATCCATATTTTTTTAAGCAGTTCTTTGAATAGGAGGGGCTCTGCTCTGACTTTGATTTGGAGTTGAAAGAGTTAAAAGAATTGAAATATAATGATTAGACCTGAAAATATGTGAAATATGAAGATCAGAATTTCCTTGCTAGATGATTTCGAGTTGTATTTAAAGAAATCCTCTCCGTTTCATTCACTTTTTTGGTTTCTAAATAAGAATTTGACGAGGAAAGATGTTGATCTACGAGTGGTAGCTCTTTTCTCACAATAAAGCTGGCCAAAAGTAGGTCCTTCCTTTGTATAATTCAAAAATATTCATATACCTTCTCTCTTTTATTCAAAAAAGAAAAGAGAATGTTCCACTGGTTGGTTCCACTGTACCCTTCTGCCTCTTCATTTTGTTCAAAAAAATTCTCATCTGGCTCTCCTGGCCAGCCCACAAATAAGACAAGTAATATATTTCATTAAAAACACTTTGCAAAATCAGATAAAATAATTATTATTGAAAGGTTTGCCAGGCGGACACCCCAACCATTCCCGAGATGAGCAGAGAGGCACTGAGTGTGTTTATTATGGGAACAGCAAACCGTATTAGACAGCAAACGACAGCACACACATGGAACGGTGGACCAGCCAGAACCTCCTCTGGCAGCACATTTTTCGAGGACACTTTGCGATGCAAAAAGGCGAAAATTTATGCGCACAGAGCGGCGAGGAGGCGAGGGAGGGGAAGGAGCAGGAAGTCAGGAAGGCGAGGAGGTCTTTAGGAAGCCGGAGGCTGAGGGCGTCAGATGGACATCCGGCTGGAAGGAGCGCGGCACTTTCACGCTTGACCTCACTCCCACGGCCTGCTTAGCCTCTTGACCAGGCCCTAAATGTGGGCGGGGAATCACCGGCGTGTGGAATGGGCAGCGTACGCGACCGACCCGTGTGTGGGCGCCTCTTGTGCGTTACTTTTTTTTATTATTATGGTAGCCACCACTTGCAATGAAAGCATTTCCGTATCCGGCAGCGATGCTTCCGAGGCACAGCCACAGCGCGAAAGAGAGCGCCAGCGCCAGCGGCAGCGGCACCCAAAGCCAAAAGGATCCCAAGGAGCCGCTGGCCCCAGCGTGGAGTCCACTTTAATTTTTGTTTTGTTTATAATTTACGCGACACAACATCAATTAAGTGCTTGGCCGGAAAAGCGCATACTACTCGTGCTACCTGCAGCTGAAAAAAGCAGTCATAAATTCTCGCCCTAAAGTGTTGGCGAGTGTCGGTCGGAGTCGGCGTTGGAGTCGGAGTCGGAGTCCCCTCCAGAGGTGGGAGGTGGGGCGCACCGGTACACCATTCCACTGGTCCACCGGCAGACCAGCTGCAATGTCCTGGAACATAAATAGCCAACGCCATTTTGGTATGCGTTCCCTTTTTTATGTATCACACAAATCATTTTATTGAATACACACTGTATACGGGTGTACGGTGTATTTAAGCACTGAAAATGTTACAAAATGGAGAGGTAGGGGTGAGAGTTGATCTTTTGGGTTCTTTACTATGAGAACTGAAGATAAAAGTACTCGATGAGGCAGTTTTTTGGGGCTTTGCAGAAGAATTTGATGGATGCTTTGAAACATATACCAATTATTGGATATTCCTCTTGGTTTATTTTGAATAGGGATAGTTTTGAACCAAGATTTGTAGCTATTTTTAGTAACTGAGTACCAGGTATCATGGTGTTGAGGTACGTGTGCCTCGATATCTTACTATTTCCACTGGTTTAAGCATTTATTTGTGCGGAATTTGAAGTATTCTTTTCAATGAATATAAATTGAGTTTTAGATCGTTTTTTGTATCTATAAAATACCATAATTCATCTTTGAAAGAATTTATGTATTTCTGTCACCTTTTAACCCAAAATCCCTCTTCCCTGTGGACAAATCTATAAATTTATCAGCTTAATAGCAAAACTGAACCCATATACATTCTAGACCCTTGAATGGAAATCAATTTCCAACTTTGAAACCAGACGCGAGCCGTAAAAATGACTGCAACGAGCACGAGGGCATACGGGCAGCAGACACACACTCGTACGTACGTGCAAAGATGCCTTCTAATTGGAATTAACGAAAACAATTTATGGTCCAAGTTGGTGTGATTTGTTGGAGTGACATTACGATGCGGTAAACGGACGATGGCCCAGACTCGGAGCCGAACGAACGAACGAACCCCCAAAAACGGTTAACGATAGCAACGCCAAGTGCGCCATAAACTCTACGGAAGGAATATGGAGATGGGTCTTGGACAAGTTTCTGGCCCTGTGTGTGTGTGATGGCACTTGCAGACGCAATTTGTTACAACAAAAAAGGGTCCAAGAAGACATTAGACGGCAGCATAAACAAAACTCCAGACGGACCCTCGAAACACCCATTGGGAGGGGTAGAACACACACACACACACACACACACACCGAAGAAAGTGTCCACCAAGTGTGGGGAGGGGGTGAAGTTACAACTCACTTAAAGTTAATTTTTTTGGAAATAAGTGTCTCGGATTAAATTGGGGGATAAGTCAATTGATTGAGAGACAATTGATTAAGGATTTATGGGGATGGGTACTTGCTTTATTTCGAATACAGATTGAAACCAATTAAGACTTATCTAAGCGTCTATCGAAGTAAGACAAGTGCATCGATTAGTCCCAAAAACAAATGATGGATAAGTCTTTCTTAATTCATTTTGATTATTCTTCGGTGGAAGATTCAATTATCTAAGCGTGTATCGAAGTACTAGTTGTATCGACAAGTGCACCGATTAGTTTCGATAACAAACGATAGAAGAATATTTAAATTGTTTGTAATTTTCTTAGCTCTACATTGCCCCAAGATAAATTACAGTATAATTATAAACTTGAATCTTTGTCTTAACAAATTATGAAGCTTTTATGGTCTTTAAAGCTATGGCTGTCGATACATATCGATCGCAATGCACCACTGATTGCAGAAACGTTTCCCTATCGCCCAAAAGAACTCGGTTTCTCGTTCCTTTTTAACGCTATTCAGGCCCAGCCATTCAATTAGCAAATAATGCAGTGCAGTTCATTGTAAAATGAATCAATCTTAAGCGTGGGGGGGAGTGGGGGCGAGTGAATTTATTTATTGGCTTAGCCGTGTGCAGTGGATGCGACATTCAAATGAATCGAAATGAATGTTTTGCTGCATTCATCCATTTATTCACGCACCATAAACTAAGGACGAATTTATACCAAAGGACATAAAAATAATAAAATTAATGGGGGTGCTATGGCCCGAACCCGAACAAGTGAGAGGCGACTTTTATTCCAATTCCAATCGGGAGGAGAGGCCAGGCCCCCAGGCCCCCATGGATGATGTTCAAACAGGTATTCGACGCGACTTCTCTCTCGTTTCAGAATTAAATATACATTTCATTTCAAATTGGCTCACAGAATGAGCATTTTTGGACAATCGGAGGAGACGGAACACGGACGGGGGGACACGACCGCGACCAAAATAATTTCCAACCATTTGCCAGATTTTGAATGCAGCTGCCGCCAATGCCAGTGCCACTGCCAGTGCCACCGCCGCCTCTGCATAGATTTTGGGCAATGCATTGTAATTTACGCGACAATTGCAATAAACATTAGTTCATTTGTTACGCAATGTACTGCACCCAGAAGTACCCTTCTGTCCCGTGCCCCATGCCCCATGCCGCATGCCCCCCCTGCTCGCTGGCTGTGCTGTTTGTGGGTTTGCGGCTGGCACATTAAATTAATTACTCATGTTATTATTTTGGCCGAAATGAAGTACGCAACAATTTATAATCGGCGGCTACATGAGATTAGAAGTACCTGCGGTGCATGGTGCAACTCCTGGGCGCTGCAACCATTTTGCTTTATTAGTCCGAAAAACTGCATACATACTCGTATATTTCCAAATCAAAATTCCACGAATTTTCCACGAATGCCGGCTTCTGTTTGGAATAAAACGCTAATTTATGAACAACTAATTTCCACAAAATGTTGCGCCTCCAAATGGTTTGTCTTTTTTGTCATTGCAGGACTAACGGTTCCAAAAATGGCAATTTCCATTCGAGAGCGATCGTAGAGGGGGTCCAAGAAGGAACAGAGTATCTGTTTTTAGATGATTATCGAGTCTTTAAGGTACTCTTATGATTCCATATTTCATCATCTAACTAATTTCCATTACAATCTCCATTTCCTAGTCGTAATCCCAAGGATTACTGTACACTCGGAGAGCCAAGAATCCTAACAACTGCATTACATTGAATGCCCCGCCCGAAGGCGACTAAATTTAGTTGGGAAATTTATGGCAATTGCTCAAGCAAAGCATTAATCCCATTTAAATGTCCTCCGACTTGTGGAATCAACAGGCGGTTGCAACACAATCACAACCTAATGCATCCGCCGAGGCAGAGAGTGAGAGAGAGCGAGAGAGAGAAAGGAAGGAAGGATGTACCAGAGCTGCAGTCGGTCGTCCCCCTCCTGTTTTCTGGGGGGGGTTCCTAATGTATGATTATGTCCGAAACACAAAGCATACGCCAAGGACAACGAGGAGGAGTCGGAGGAGGAGGTGGCAGAGTGCGGAGTGTGGCTGGCGATTGGTCAACGAGGCGTTGTGTTGCATCCTCCATGTAAGCAAAGTACCGTCCGCCCGGTTCAGCCCCATTTATTTGCATCCGAAATTTGCACATGTTCAAATCGAGATTTACGACGGCGAGTGACATCATTAATCAAGCGCCTGATTGGTGATCCTGTTCCTGTTAATTAATACAATAATGGATTGCGTGGCTTCTACCAGGGGACGACTCTCTTCGGAGTCCTTCGAAAGACGACAAAAGGCTGCTGCTTCGCAGGATTTACGGCAAAACGGAGAAGGCAAGTGCGCACCGCAAGTGCGTGTAGCCGGCCAAAAAGGATAAAAGCTAGAACTTACAGGACAGCAAAGGAAAAAAGACTAACGCATCTCCTTCCACCGCCTGAAACATTGATTTAAAATTTACAACGGTCATGGCAAAGGTTGCTGCAACATGGCCATATGTTGCATTGATTTATCATTGGGATAGGCGATGTGGCAGCCAAAATGGAAATCTGTTGCAGCTGCTACCGGTACACTGTCTCCTAGATAAATTCTCAGCCAAAACAAAACATCAGAGCAGGTGATGGGATGGGATGGAATGGAATGGTGGCTGCCTCCCTCACACACAAATTTCAATTAACAATTTTACCCTTAATTTTGGACCAAAAAAGCCACACAAAAATCAGCCAAAAAGTCAACAGGGGAGGAGGTGTTTTTTGGGGTGGGAGGTTGGGCCAGCAAACTAAATTACAATTTTGCTAAGACTAAGGACGGTAGCTGGAACCCTCTTCTATCCTATTTTTGGTCTATGCTCTGGAGCATCAATTATGATTATCGTCACGTTTTATGAGACGTTCACTCGACAACTTTATGACTTGGGCCACGCCACGAGGCTTGTCAAGCGGCAGAAAGTATGCACACTCGTATAATGAATATTGACAAAGGATACCACTACCACCTACTACTACTAGCTGCCCCATGCCCCGTGCCCCATGAGGTATATGAGCGGTGTGTAGGCAGGTAACACTTTGTTTGCTGTCCTCATTTATTCATTAGGGGAACACATTTGTTAGATGAAAGAAGAACAAACGGTGGGTGTACGTGAAAGCTAAGGGGAATCTAACGCAATTCGGATCAAATGCAGAGTCAGCAGGGGGCTAAAGTTGGGGAAAAACTAGGATATATTCAAGTACTACTTCCAAAGTCTGTGACTTGCCACAAGCTCCACACTCGAGAGATAAAAGAGCTGAAATTTTAATTTTTACACTTAGATTTAAAAATGTAAACCAAAAGATATGCCCCGAGTGTGGAGTTAGTAAAAAGAAAGTGCTTTCACTTATATAATACTTAAATATGAAATTAAATATATTTCTTTTTTTGTAAATAAATATATCGAATTACAAAAAAAAACACCAATAGAGATAATTGATGGTAAAAATGGTAAAAAAAAACCTACATTAATACTATTTTAAAATAAGTGAACTGATTTCGAATATTCTGTTCCGTTTCGTAGATTTTTTCATTTTACTGGATTAAGCCAAAGTCGACTTATATTTCGCGTACGTTCGTATCCACATATTTATTGCTATTATTGAGAAAACTTAAAATTGTATGAACCCCATCTTATGTACTAAAAATAGAGCTAACAAAATTGTATCCAATCGTCTAAAAAACCTCGGTAAATATTTGTCTTATTTTTGTTCATCAACAGACGACGAACGTACGTTTGGGACCCGCGAAATTGCCCATATTTAAATTAAATAATAATGAAATATTTAATTAAATTCATATTGAGATGAAATATATTTCCTATATTTATTATAATGTTTTTTCTATTTAGATCAAATATGGCCCATATTAAATATATTTTTGTACATTTATGTTGAATTTTAAGTTTAAAATTAAGAGTTATATTGTTTTTTAAACGAAGAAACATTTAATATTTGTATCTTGGATAAGCATATATTTTTACCATTTTATAAGTTAATATTCTTTCAAAAATAGTTTTCCTCAAACTCTATTAAAATTCATGTGGAATTGTCTTGATTATATTTTATCGGAGAACTCACTTAAATCCTTAAACAATACGTTGTTTCAACCAGAAAAAGATTGATTTATCTAAAAATCCCATCAATCAACACCGAATGTCAAATTTTCTTTATAAAAAATGATTTTAGCTATTACAAATTTAGACGAATTAGAGCTTTAGGCGGCTAATAGAAGGTGGCTGTGATGTCAAGCCTCTTATTTTTAGGGGTTTTCTCCTCGAAAACCCCAAGAAAAAATCCCACCAATCCTAGCTCTCCCTACAGGGTCTTTTTCTTGGCTTTCAAAAATCCCTACGCAGTTGCTTCTAATTGTTCTACACAAAAAAATATTAATAAGCAAATTTATAAAAAAAAGGATAAGAAAGGGAAAACCTCCTCTCCAATCTAGTAAACCCCCAAGTCCCAAAAGCGGAGGACAATTACAACCCAAAACGAAATTTCAATTAGCGGCACTTAGCGTCAGCTGCCAGTGGAAAAACCCCAGCGGAAAACTGCCAAAAGAAAAGAAAAGGAGTATCTAATAACAACTAAATGATATTAGAGATGAAATTAGCTGTGGCTGTGGCTGCAAGAGTCAAGAAATTGAAGGCAATGCCACAAACCGCAGCCAAAGGAGAGACACTTCTGATGCTGTTTTTCTCTTTTTTTTGGTTTGGTGGCACATTAGACAGAAAAACAATTTTCATTTGCAAATTGCGTGTGTTGTTCCGTTCAGACGCTTTTTGTCTGTATTTTGCATTTTCCATTTTCCATTAGATTTTTACATTCGTAATCGTTTTTTGAATCGCAATTTTGCTTAGTGATTTCTTTGGCATTTTCTAATTGCTGCGGACAAAACAGCAAAACTACTGCAAATATGCACGAGTATGTCTGCAATTTGGTAAAGTTGTTTTCGGGTTAACCAGAGCTTGGAAAATTGTCTACTTAATTGTTATTTAGAGCAGTGATATCTGGAAATTGTCTAATTATAGAGTGAGTTTTGTCTAAATGGGGCTTAGAAAATGGGTTTACAGAGCGGCATTTAACTAAAACGAAAGGAGAGTGCTTAAGATTTGAATGGGGAAGAGTTTGAGTTTGTTTAAGGAGAGAGAAGTCATAGAACTAAAGAAACTATAATTATTTATAGATATTTTTGCTGCGGATGTATATTATTTTAAGCATAATGGTTCTTGGAAATCTTCATACTTATTTTATTAATTAATGTATCTTTTATTTATTATTATTATCATTAATTGTTAATTGATTTTGTTAATTATTTATTAATTAATGTATCTTTTATTTATTATTATTATCATTAATTGTTAATTGATTTTGTTAATTATTTATTAATTAATGTATCTTTTATTTATTATTATTATCATTTATTGTTAATTGATTTTGTTAATTATTTATTAATTAATGTATCTTTTATTTTGTTATAGATTCATATACAAAGGTGCAAAGGATTCTCAGCATCAGGGTAAGTGCATTTGTGATTTAAAATAACATTCAAATACCTTTTATATTTTATTTCATTTATAAAATATTTTGGAATAAAAATCTTAAAAGAAGTCAAAGATCTCCATAGAATATTTAAAGAATATTGTGAACAAAAACTATTTAAAAATTTAAAATTAAAATTTAAAATTTTATCGCTAATAGAATACAAGTTTTTGCTTAAAGCTAGCATTTCCAAAACTGGGTTCCGACTTCAAATTATCTTAACAGCTGTAAGGTAACAATTTGAGTTAATAAAATTATGTTAAAATTTGGGATTATTATTCGATAACCAAAGGGAAAAGGTGGTCGATAAAAACCCTTGAAAAAAAGTTCTATTGATTTGGACTTAATGTTAATTCGAGATAAATTATTTTCTTATTAGAAACTATCTCTTAGAAATATTATTTTTTACCTAATAGAGCTCTTAGAGATTTTGTATAATTTTTAAATATATATTTTAATTTATTTACATATACATATAATGATATTTTACTATATTTTAATTGCATTTCCCCTCTATAAATACCCTGCACCGAAATTATCTCTGATTTGAGCACACAAAAATCTCGCATCCTTTCTATAACTCTTTTTTTTTATTTTGGACCAAAAGTTTTTGGGTTCAAACATCAAAACATTCCATGCCATTACACAAATCCAAACGTATCCTTTATGAGAGGATACCCTGCCCTGGCTTCCTGTACTGCATTCCCCCGCTCCCTGGCCCGAATGTTGACCGAGTATTTTGGATGATTGTCGAGCATGTGAAACTTCTTGAAGATAATAATAATTTAGTGCTGTTGAAATGACTTTTGACCATCACACACAATTGATACGATCCCCCGGCTCTCCCTGCCGCCCCTCCCTTCCTCCCACACACACACACGCAGGAACACACGTGTGTGCTCAAATAGGTTCGTGCCACAAAACCTTGGAATGCAACTGCCGCAGAGTCGAGTACCGGAGTACCGGAGTACCAAGTCGAC